AAAGGTGGCAGGGCTGAAGTGGTGACTCAGCTGAGCCCTGAAAAATGAGGAAGAGAAGGACTGAGAGAAGCAAGGGTGAGGCTTGTTGGGGTTGAGAGACCCCGGGCTCTAGGATCTGACTTGGGGGGATTGCATGTCCAATTGGAGGACTGCAAGGTGCTTTGAACTGACTGCACTATGGATTACACCACAGTTGAGCCATGGTGACCCCTGTAACCCACATGGACACCTCCAGATGGCCTCCTGGAGCCAGAAAGTCCAAGGTAACAGAAAACCCACAAAAGGAAAAGAATATCTAGCTCCTGCAGTGCCTGATAACGGACCTTTTGACGTTCTGCCATTGTTCCTTCCTCAACTGATAAGCCAACCTTGTGACTTTTGCCCTTGACAACACCCCCAGCTTGCAAAAACCACCCTGACCTGTAACTTTCCACTGACTACCTCAAACCTATAAAACCAGCTCCTGTCCCACCCCCCTCTTTGTACTCTCTTTTCCAACTCGGTCTGCTCACACCTGAGTGAATAAACAGCCTTGTTGCTCACACAAAGTCGTTTTTTTTTTTAAACACGGGGTTTCACCATGTTGGTCAGGCTGGTCTTGAACTCCCGACCTCAGGTGATCCGCCGGCCTTGGCCTCCAAAGTGCTTGGATTACAGGTGTGAGCCACCGCGCCCGGCCCTACAAAGCCCGTTTAGATGGTCTCTTCAGAGCATGCTTAACAGAGACCACATATTTTAAAAACACAGACAGGAGGCCGGGCCTGGTGGCTCACACCTGCAATCCCAGCACTTTGGGAAACCAAGGGGTGGATCCCCTGAGGTCAGGTGTTCAAGACCAGCCTGGCCAACATGGTGAAACCCCATCTCTACTAAAAAATACAAAAAATTAGCCGGGTGTAGTGGCAGGCGCCTGTAATCCCAGCTACTTGGGAGGCGGAGGCAGGAGAATTGCTTGAATCTGTGAAGTGTAGGTTGCAGTGAGCCGAGGTCGCCACTGCAGGCTGGGTGACAGAGCGAGACTGTCTCAAAAACAAACAAAACAAAAACACAGAGAGGAGGCTCAGGGCCTTCACTCTCGGAGGGCTTCTCTTCCTCACTGCCGGCATGTCTGCACTCAAATGTGTTCTTTGCAATGACGGCTTTCCTGGCTGCCCTATTTAAAATGTCCACGATCCTCCTAGTCTCCACCTTATATATATATATTTTTTTGAGACGGAGTTTCACTCTTACTGCCAAGGCTGGAGTACAATGGCGCAATCTTGGCTCACTACCACCTCCACGTCCCGGGTTCAAGCGATTCTCCTGCCTCAGCCTCCCGAGTAGCTGGAATTTCAGTCGTGTGCCACCAGGCCCGGCTAATTTTTGTATTTTTAGTAGAGAGAGTGTTTTGCTATGTTGGCCAGGGTGGTCTCAAACTCCTGACCTCAGGTGACCTGCCCCCCACAGCCTCCCAAAGTGTTGGGATTACAGGCGTGAGCCACCAAGTCTGGCCTCTCACACTGCACTATTTTGCTCATTAATCTTGCTTCTTGTCCTCCTCCCCAACTAGACCATGGGCTCCACGGCGGCTTGGACACAGGAGATCAATAAACATTTGCTAAGCTAATTAATGCCACTCGGGAGGTTTTGCAGAGAAGGCGGCCACGGTCGGGCCCCACCGGGCCTCGCCAAACAGGCCCCGCCACCCGAGGCCAGGGATCAAAGCGGTTCCCCTTGGCCCGCGGGAAATCACTGGCCGGTCTTGGCCCAGCTCGCCCATCCTACGGTTCAAGGTTCCTATTTTCGAGCTTCAGGGTCCTCCCTTCCCTACGGACCCTACGGCCACCGGAGTCCCATCCCCCAATGCCCCGCCACTGCCGTCGCCTCCACCGCAGTGACGCCCGCTGTGCGCATGCTCCGGGGCGACAGGACCCGCGGCGTGCAAAGGGCAAAGCTACCGGTGCGCAGGCGCGGGGCTATAGCGGCCCGAGTGGGGCGGTGCGTCGGGCGCGCGTGCTTCCTCCTTGACACGCCCACCTCTGTCAGCCTAGGGGCAGGAGCGCACGCGCGCAGGGAGCGGAAGGGCGGATTGGCGCGCGCACGAGGCCGGGCGGGCGGCGGAAGCTGGAGAGGCCGTCCGCGGTGCTGGGGGAAGGGTAGCCAGCGAGCGCGCGCGCAGCGGGGGCGCGGGCGGCGCGCGCGTGAGTGTGTGAAGGGGGGGCGGTGACCGAGGCAGGCGGGTGCGCGCGTGAGGCTTCCCCTCGCTTGGCGGCGGCGGCGGCGGCGGCGGCGGCGGCGGCGGCTTCTTTGTTTCGTGAGGAGACGCGAGACTCTCACTCTGCCCCCGGCCCCGCGCGGAGGGGCGGGGGCGGCGCCGGGAAGGTGACGGCGCCGGCCGCTCCCGGTAAGGAACGCGGGCCGCGGGGGCAGCCTGGCGCGGGGCTGGGGAGGGCGGTTTGAATGGAGCCGGGGCGCTGAGGGGGGATGGGGCCACCGGCGTGCCCGGTGTGGGGCCCGGGTACGGCGGCGCCCGAGGGTCAAGAAGCCTGGCCGGCAGCCGCGCGCGTGGGGAAGGCCACAGCGTCGCGAGGCCGCAGCAGGGACGGTCCCCGTGGAGTGGCGGGGCGGGTGGGGGACCTGGGCTGCGTGGAGGCCGCGCGATCCCCTCCGCGCGCGCTCTCGCCGGGGTCGCGGGACAAAGCTCGCCCCTTTTGCCCGGCACCCCCACAGTCGCCCTCCCAATTTCAGCGCTTGCAACAATAGGCAGGCGTTGGGGCTTTTCTGGCTGCGTGGTAGCGGGTCAGACCCGAATGTTGCCTTTTTGGCGAAGCTGCGATTGGGGCTCGGTAGCCAAATCTCCAGATATGTCCGGCGTCGACCGGACACGGGCATTAGCGGTCCCCTTGGGCTAGCCGACCTGAAATTGTCTTAAAAACGCGTCATTCCAGATTTTCAAGGAAAGGTAAAGGACTCCTCCAATCCCTTGGAATTAGTGACTTCAGAATGTTTGTCCGAATTGGGGTTGGGGAAGTTTGGGGATGGGGTCTGCTGCAAGTAGGGGACCACGGAGGAAATCGTTTGCTGTATAAAAGCAGTACTTTGCTTTTGCATCCTTTTTCTTCCTTCCCAATTGGTTTTTCAGTTGAAGGTTTTTGTTTGTTTCTTTTTCGAACGTGGACTTTTTAGGCGAGTGTTTTGTCCCTGTCTTGAAGACACCAGTCTTGTTTTTTTTTTTCTTTTGGTCAGTGACTCCTTGGGGAAAGTGCAAAGTGAGTAAGTGGAAAAGACACTTCGCAAGAATTTGAAACAAGTTTTCAGTTTGGATTGATAGGCTGCATTCAAGTTTGATTCCTGGTGCTATCAGTCACTTAGCACACTGTCACTTTAGGGAACTGGCTTAACCTCTCTGAACCTCTTAGTTTTCCTTCTTTGTGAAAGGGGGTAATCTCACAAATGGAATTGGTGAACGCCTGTGAAATGGTTCCTGGCAAGTGGGAAGCAATATTGTTATTGTCTGGTCCAGTGTCACTCATTGTTCAGCAAATACTTGTTGAGGCCCTACTGAGTGTTGGATGGCCGGGGGTTGGCTCCTGGAGTCTCTGCAGTCTCGGAGGGGAGCAGGTGGTAAATGTGGGAACAAACCCTCCTGGCCTGCCATTTAATGCTGTAACCTGCACTGTGAGAGGGATGCAGCAGACATGCAGTAGATGGCTGGTAGCTGGAGATCATGGGGGCTGCCTGGAAGAGGGGGCCTCAAAATCAGGGAGGATATGTAGGATTTTTTTTTTTTTTTTTGAGATGGAGTCTCTCCTGTTGCCCAGGCTGGAGTGCAGTATCCCGATCTCGGCTTATTGCAGCCTCTGCCTTCTGCGTTCAAGCGATTCTTGTGCCTCAGCCTCCCAAGTAGCTGGGACTACAGGCGCCTACCACCATGACTGGCTAATTTTTTTGATTTTGTATTTTTAGTAGAGATGGGGTTTCCCGGTTTTGGCCAGGCTGGTCTCACACTCCTGACCTCAGGTGATCCATCCACCTCCGCCTCCCAAAGTGCTGGGATTACATCTGTGAGCCACCTCACCCGACCAGGATTGTGTTTTGACTTTTCCTGGCCACCTTGGACTAGCCATTGTTCCCCTCAGTTATGCTCACACATCACCTTCGTCCTTTCTCGTGTAGCTGTCACCACCAGCACGGTGAGAGCTGGGACTGTGTCTACCTTGCTAGCCCCAGAGTACCCTGGGCCTGACGCATAGTACGTCTTTAGTGAACATCTGTGGATTGAAGGAGAGGGTCCTGTGGAAGATCTCGTGAGCATCTTTGTTCAAGGCCTGGTGCAGGATCGGGTGCAGTGGCTTTGGGCAATCCCAGCACTTTGGGAGGCTGAGGTGGAAGAATTGCTTGAGACCAGGAGTTTGAGACTAACCTGGGCAACAGAGAGAGACCTCATCTCTCCAAAAAATACAAAAATTAGCTGAGTATGGTGGCATGCATTGGTGGTTCCAGCTACTTAGGAGGCAGAGGTGGGAGGATTGCTTGAGCCAGAGAGGTAGAGGCTGCAGTGAGCCATTCTCGGGCTCCTGCATTCCAGCCTGGGCACCAGAGTAAGACTGTCTTTTTTTTTTTTTTGAGTCAGAGTTT